TGATGAAATGGGAAAGACAAGTGCAAGTGAAACTTTGATGACGAGTGATCCATGACATTTTTGACAATTATGTGAAAGTAATTACAAATGTGTAAGTAGTAACCTTGAAATCAGTTACATTGATAATTCTAGAAAACTTTGTTCTTCCAACACTCTAGTTATGTTTTACAAAATATTGAGTATTAATTAATTTATTTTAGTTATTTTAATTGGACATTGATATCTATGATAGGCAAGAAAAAGAAGTCTACTAAGTATGCTCAATCTATAATATTTTCTAACATTTTAGGAGAAAGAAAGGGCCCAACAGAGTAAGAAAAGTAGAGTCAAGTTTCCTTTTTGGAGCAGGATAGTCAAGGTATCCTTTTGTAATCTAATTTTGATTATTTTGATATATATATTACTCTTGAGTTGGATCATTGTATTTATGTTTTGGATGAAATGAAATACCATGGATAGCTCTAGTTAATTTTGGTGGTGGATTAGTTAGATTATAGATTTATGCATTCAACTCTTTCATTAGATCTCAAGGTGAAACACTAATAACCTAGCAATGATGATCACAAGATGATGAGTAGGCAATAATAGTCATCAACTATGTGGTTGGTAGTGATTGTCTGTGTTGAACATCGAGTAGAGTTCAAGAGTTATTTAGATCCCCAAGCTCTCTCCAATCTCTAGTCTAGGCCCCTTCCATATGGGGAATGGAGGTACATTTATAGAATTAAATGAGTGGTATTTTAATAAATTCAATGAAAATTTCATGGCACTCTATCGAATGATTTATATTAAACTTTGATTATATATCATTTATTCAACATTTGTGCATCTTTAAGACCCAAAATTAAATAATCTTGAGCTTATTGGATTCATCTCATCGAGCTACTTGATTTAACTATAAACTTGAAAGATTTGGAGGGTTTGGTCTTTCAATTAATATCATGAAATTTTTAATCATACTTAATATACTTGATTTGGGCTCATTTATATTTGGATCGGATCATTAGACCATCTTTGATATTATTTTGTTTATTTTATCGAGACATTCTATTCTACTATAAATTTGTTAAAACCAAAGTGGATAATCCTCAATTTAATTTCATATATTTTTAATTCAATATTACTTCAAAACACTTACCTGAAAATTTTTTATACAAGATCATTGATTATTATTATTATTATTATTATTATTATTATTATATTTACATATATTATTATTATTATTATTATTATTATTATTATTATTATTATTATTATTATTATTATTATTATTATTATTATTATTATTATTATTATTATTATTATTATTATTATTATTATTATATTTACATATAGATGACGTTTACATGTGTACTAGTAATGTTTAATATAATTAAGATTAAATATGTGTTAAAAATATAACATGTACTTCTGAATATATCATATATTGTTTATTTTGATTTGAATTAAACTAATTTCAAGGGAGCCACTATCGAGCGGAAAAAAAAATCAATTTCAATTTTGAGCTTCAAAATTTCAATATAATTATGACTGCTAACGGTGAGGAGCAAAATGGAATGCCAGAAGGAGGGAGCCTAAGTAGTTGTTTTAAAATTTTTAGTTGACTTTAAATTAACACCAATTGTAAGAATAAGCGGGTAATGGAAAAAATATTCAAAATGGCCCAATTTTTTATCATGAGACTGATTATGCCGACACTGATGTTTTATTTTTATTTTTTAAACCATAATATATTGCAACAAAAAAAGGGTTACAACATACTTAAAGAAGGGGCGAGAAAAGAAAACTACAAAGATACCAAAACAAGGGGGGTTTACAACCCATTAGGCTCAGCATTTGGCAGATGCTTCCAACTATTCCGAAGCCAGGTGCGGGCCATCCAATTTGGAGTGAGAGCAGAAACGCACCAAGGACCAAACAAGCAAGACACGCACTACCAAAGGTTGCCACGAGCCGTGGCTTCAGAAAAGTGAGCCCATAAGCCAATAACCGCATCCACGAAATTTAAACAAAGCTCCAGCAAAATAGCAACCGCCACAAAAAAATTACTCATAACAGCTACCAAGAAAAGCAGCAACCCAAAGAAGAGAGACCAATGAAAATCATCTCGGACCCCTACCACGTCTACCCCTCCCACGATGGGAAACAGGCACAACAGGTCGGTCATGCTGCACTACAAATTCATCCACAGATTCTTCATCTCCACTAACCTCCGAAGAGGAATCTGACGAACATTGAATCCATTCAATTTGCAATCTCACACTCTCCCCCGAATTGACACTCACTTGAGAAACCAATGCGTCTGATGAAATTAAATTAACAGAAACATCAACAAAAGGTCCAGGCACATGAATAGTAGGCGTCACAGGGTTAGAGACAAAGGGTGAGGAAAAACGTTCAACAGCCGGCAAAGCAGGAGAAATAACCTCAGCCAAAATACACGGGGCAGACACAGTACCCACACAAGACAAAGGAATTGTGGAGTTAATACCACCACCAGTTTCACTTGCACATTTACGGGATGCCAAGACAACACCAGAGTCTGACAAATGAGACATAAATACAGGAGAAACAACACCCACCACCTCACCAGAATCCACTGAATCCCCAGAACTAGCAGGGGATAGAACAGGATTAAGACCGCCCAGAGCACTGACATTAGACACGGTGGGACAAACAAAACCAGCTTTCGAATCATCCAAAACAGGGGATGCCCCAACAGCCTGAACCAAAGACTGTCACCACAAGCTTAGAGCAAACAAATTCATCCCGAAAAGGCACAAGCAGAACACGAGCACAAATAGCATCAGCTAAACCAACATTATCATTATTCATGGCTAAACCAACAATATCATTAATCAAAACCGCATGAGTCACAGGAGGCAAGGTAACTGGTAAATCGCTAACCATACTAGCTTGAGCCACCTCAGTAATAGGAGAAATAACCACATGATTGGACGGGGGATGGAGAAGAGGGCATTCAAGCTTTGAGTGACCCAAAGATTTACAGTGAGAGCAGTAGGATAGAAAAGGGTCCATCACAACCGATTATATATAGCCTAAGCCCTCGGAGCCAACCCAAATCTTATCAGGATACACCTTGGTTACATCTAGTTCCACCAGCACGCGAGCCGACGGCCGCTTCCCAAAGGAAGTATCCTGATCAATTTTAAGGGGTCTACCGAACATGGAACCAAGCCCCTGTAGAATCCTCGGGGAAAAGAGGTGCGGTCTCAGACTAGGAAAAGAAATCCAATTTGGGATAGAAGGAGATTCAATATCAACATCAAATGTAGGGGACCATTTGAAAATTTTCATGAAACAGTTGTTCACAAAATAGGAGCGATGGGAAAAAACACGGCAGTAATCCATATCATTCCCAAGCTTGATAAGAACATGCTCATGGTTAAAAACAGTGACCCAGAAGACACCATTAAGTTTGAGATTGAAAAAAAAAATTGTGAATCGCTTCAAGCGAAGGTCTATGGGTAGGAAATTTACCAACTAGCACAAACTCAAAGGGAGCTGCAAGAGCTAGAACCTCCTCATCCGAAATCCAAAGCGAAGGCAACCCCCGAAAAGAAGAAATCTTAAGATTAGGAAAAGAAGAGGAACCCACTAAAGCCTCGCGAAAAGACCGAGAAGAAGGATTTCCTGTCAAAAAATAGGATCCAGAAGCCGTTCACCCTCCATAAAAATAGAAAACCAACAGAAACGAAAAAAATTAGGGCAGGAAACTTCCCTGAGAAGCCCAGAGAAGAACACAACGACAAAGGAGACGGCGCGATCAAGAAACCCTAGTAGAGCTCATTTCCCAAGCAATGGATCTTCTCAGTATCTTACTTTGGTTTCATTTGGAAAAGTTATTTTACTATTTTTTAAATTAATTTTTTAATACAAAATTTTTTTGATTGCAATAAAATAATAGTGGTCAAAAGTTGATTCATATTTCATTTGGAACATTTTTCTTATTGCTTTCTAAAGCAACTTTTTAGTAAAATAAATTAGTTAAAAATTTATGCTGAAAAGTTGTTTTAGAAAATAATAAGAAAGCTATCACAAATAAAACCTTAGCCACTTTCTATGCTATAAAAATTAAGTCTTTTTATTACACCGTGTCACCAACTAGAACTTAGATTTTCAATAAAATACTTGAACCTCATGCCTTGTCCTTACCAAGGTTGTCAGACTATGAAATATGGTTGGTGGGAAAAAAATTATGTAAAAAAAATTTGGTATAAAATCTATTAAAAAGGGGTTCAAAATAAATAGATTTACATTAAAGTTAGTGTAATTCAAGATACCATAAAAAGTATTCAACTCGTATTCAAATATTTTGAAGTCCTTCCTGATACAATTTACATCTTTTTTTTTTTAATTGACGGCCATATATAGCATTCATTAATGAATCAAAAGTTACATAGGATGAATTATTATAAAGCCTTCGTCGCATACAAAAAGAAGAGAGAACATTACAATAAGCTATAAAAGGAAAACTTTATATGAAACAGTAAAACAGGGCTCAGTTTGACCAAGAAAAACTGCCACAGAAGTATTGAAATCACTGAAAATGGCTGCCACAGGAGGTCTCACGTATCTGTTCGAAATCTAGGTAGAATGACAGAGTTGCCACCTGGTTGCAAGAGCATTGGAAGGGCAAAAATCATAGACCCTGTTCAAAAAATTGATGCCAGAAAAACAGCAAAAGTATATCCCAAAAAAGAGCTGTGGTAACCATAATCATCTATAGTTCGAGAAAAAAAAAAGAGCTAAGGCAGAAGAAAATCTACTGCATCCAGTAGATTATCGAGTAGAATGCCCAAATAAAGAGAATAAAAGATACTCTAACATCAATTTTACTTCTCCAGTTTAGGCTGTTTTAGTTATCAAACAGCCATTTAAATGCAACTTGGTTGGGCAGCTTTAACAGGTCAGACTCGTTTTGCAATCTCTAATTCAACTAGTTTTGACTTGGAATTTGTTTCTTCATATCGAAGCAGAACAATTATCAGGAGTATTTGAAGCTGAAATCAAAAGTGGAATATCTACAACGGTCTCAAAGGTAACTACTTGGAAATTATAGTTTCTACGTAATTTTGAACTAATAAATGGATTCTTTCGGCTGTATTTTGTATATTAAAATGCAATATTCATGCCTCAACAGGAATCTTATGGGAGAGGATCTAATTGAGCTAAGCAGCAGGGAATTAGACCAACTAGAGCTCCAAATAGAAATGTCTCTGAAACAGATCAGGTCAATAAAGGTAATAAATCATTGCAGAAAAGGTTTTATTTTGTTTTGTTTGATGAACTTGGAGTTTACAAAACTGATATCATCTTGATGTAGCCAAGAGAAAACCACCTAGGCTGTTCATACATATGGGTGTAAATGTTATGTGTGGAATCAGATTGAGTTAATCAATCGGGTTGTTCTATTGCATCGGACCTCAAATTTGTCGTGCTTGCTAGGGGGCGCAGGGGGTTTACTCCGTGCTTGGGTTCAGATGCACTTTGCAAACTAAATTTTTTTTTTTCCGTACAACTCCCCGGCGTTTTGTAACCGAGCGCCCGACGCTATGTTTCCGAGAGCCCCAACGTTGTGTTTTCGAGCGCCCCAATGCTTAACGACAGAGAACAGAGAGCAGAGAGCAGAGAGCAGTGCGAGTTTGAGCGCTGCAGCATCATCAGACAGAGGCTTGAGCGTCCCAGCGCCCCAAACTGGCCCCGCAACTCTACGAGACGGACTAGACGGTTTTCTTTCTCATTTTTCTCAATGTTTGCGTCCCTTGGTGTTTGTAACTAGCTTTCTCTTGTATTTCTTGTTAGGTTAGACATTAAGAATGATACTTGTGAGAACTGAGAAGAGAAGCAAGGAGAGAGCAAGAGAGAAGAGAGATCCGAACTTATTCTACCTATTTTCATAGTGGATTTCTTTGTGTGGTGTGGGGTTTCGTAGTTTTTTTTTTTTTCCTATTTTGGATTTTTTCTGTGTTAAGTCCTTGTGTCCTTTATTTTTCCGTTGCTTTTACTTTCTTGTTTGTTTCGTCATTGTTGTGTTTACTCATCTATAACAGTAAATAGGTCATGCCGAGCTCAAATCTTCATGGACTTGAGCTTCATCTTGATTCATTAATCGAGTTCAAGCTCGAGCTTGAGTTTAATTCTATGAATTTGAGTGGCTCATGAGCCAGCCTATTTGTTATAAAACTTGAGAAGAATGCTCTTATCCAAGCAATTATTATAATAATACAAAAAAAAAAACTAAACCCTAGGACCTTTCTGAACGAATCCAAGCAGTTATTATATGATAAACATTCATGGAAGAAACCGGAACAGTCCCATATATTCATGGTGACTCTGCCAAGCTCACAAAAACTAAACTCTAGGCCCTTTCTTAACTATTCCTTTTAGCTCTTTTACCATAGAATAACGGTCTACCATATGTCCATATCTTCCACTGTAGCATGGAAAAATCATTTTGGTCAAAAGTTTCGATTGAATGAGATGTCAAAGATGTCATTTCATTCGTATATTTACCTTTTTATCCTTCGAATATTGTAACTCTTGATTATGATCCTTAGATGAGCATCCGGCATTTTTATTTCCACCAAAAAAAATCGACAATGTTAGCATCCATTTTAATATCACAATTAGAATTTGAAAAGAGGTACTCCTTGATAATACAAGATATGATAAACGGAATAACCTCAACTCTTGAAATAAACTTAAAAGCTTCACATTTATGAGATATTAGAATATGTTCGCATTAGTGCTTAAACTCAATTTATCAGCTTGATTTATCTTGAACTAGCTCTCTCATATCTACCTCACATCCCAGCCTAGTTCAATGACCCAAACTTGATTCCGTTCCATCGAAGTAAAAAAAGCATCCACCTATCATCCGAAAAAAAAATTATATCTATCCATTTACACCAATGTATTTGAATATAAATTTATGCAAGTGTATAATAAATAGATATATTTATAGCAAAGTCTCATCATCATCATGGACACATCTATAGCAAAATTTATCCACAGACAAATTATTTTGTGCAGAGTCCGGACATGCAGAGACTAATAAAAATGCACCACATCACTCCAAAAGTGTACTGTGCTCAGTACCAAACGGTACCGAACGGATCTCCCGTATAAGGCATTTGCTTTCTTTCCAAGTTTACATATAAGGCATCCCAATAAATTTTCATTTTTTATCCAAATAATCGAGTGATCTTAACATAATCCAACTTGATTTGAGAGGAGCTTGAGGCGTTTAGAGTCAAACCAGATTTAATGTGGCCCAAGCAGGGGCTGATCCAAATCAATTCCAATTCATCCAACGTTTTATTTGGGCTGATTTGAAATGAATCCGAAAGAGAGGTCAATAAATATCCGTCCAAATTTACAGTCTCAATGGTGGTTTTAACTTTTAATTTTTATTTATCATATTTATATGTGCGATCCTAATATTTTGCTTTATGTTAATTATGTTTATTTTTTATCAAAGATGTAAGTTAATACTTTCGCTGCAAGAAGATTGAGTGAACCTATACAAATCACTGCAACTTTATATTTATGAAATTTTATTCCCTTGATAGGTAAAATCCCTACCTATTTCTGGCATACATTTAAGAAGGATGTAATTGCGGCTATGCTTCCATGGAAATGACATAAAGCTTGGCATAGTGGATGCATAGAATTACTTTCAGCATTTCTATTAGTTTTGATAATCTGGTTCTTAATTTGATAATCTACACTTGAATATTTCAGACTCAATTGATGCTCGATCAGCTCTGTGATCTTAAAAGAAAGGTCAGTTTTCTGGACTTATATATTCTGTGTACTACCATACATAAATCTCAAACTAAAATTTTCATCTGTTGCTCTTTTTGCGTAACTTGTAATCAAATCTTCCTGCTATATTTTCATGGATGCAGGAGCAAATGTTGTATGAAGCCAACAGAGCATTAAGAAGAAAGGTATTGTAATTAGTTTCATTTTGATTGATTTAAAATATTTATCAGCTATTATCTATAAGAGATCTCAATTGACTATACTGATTAGAGATCGAAAAAAATATGTGGCATCTTATATCAAACCATCTCATCATTCACTGGTCATTGTCACATCATCAATTTCCTCTTATGAAGCTTTTCTTATAAAATGGCGGCCTTCCAATGATCCGGTTAAAAAAGTAGATGTATTAGATTTGACTGATGTTAAGAAGGTAGAGGTAGACCTAAATAGACCTGGTTAGAAAATATTAGAAATGATCTTTCTTTTTTATATTTAAACGAGAATTTGAATTTTAACATGACATAATGGAGAAAAATGATTCATGTAGCCGATCCCACGTAAGGGGACAAAGACTTGTTGTTGTGAAGCTTTTGATTTATAAATATCCTTATATCAACATCCCAACTATCTCCTTCTATGATGCTTAGAGACTGTAAGTTATCGATCTATAAAAGAGGATTGACAAAATTTTAAATATGGTTTATAAAGAGTTCTAATGGAATTGCTTGCATGAATGCTTTAACTTTTGATCAAATTTGATAAAAAGATTATCACAACATCCCAATAATATGTTCTAAATCCTGAATTTTGTTATAGACAAGATTATATAGTACTCTAAGATTTTATTTGGGACGACTTTCTTACTGCTTCTTAAAATATGTATCTCGGACTGAATTTTGTTTTTCAAAACTACATGAAACCAATGCTTTCGGGCTAACTCAAGTTTTCTAAATGAGAGAACATTGGGCTCCAATTGATCAAACCCAACCACAAAATCAAATCATGTGAACATCATAACTTCTATTCCTTAGTTCTTGAATTCCTTGTATCAGTTGCAAGAAGATGGGCCAGATATTCCCCTGGAACTATCCTGGCCTGGTGGAGAAACCAATGGGTCCTGTGAACGTCAGCAGCCTCAATCAGACAAATTCTTTCAGCCATTGCCTTGTAGCAACCCTTCCTTCAAAATTGGGTAACTTCATCCTCATAAATCCACTATACTTTTATTGAAACTTTTTATCATGTAATATAAATTTTAATTGTTATTTCATATATTATAATAGTTCTAAAATAAATTGCCTGCAACCTTTCATAATTTTACAGGTATAGTCCAATCTGTACAGATGAACAGTTGAACAGGTCATCATCCACACATAACATTAATGGCTTCATTTCAGGATGGATGTGATGATTTATTGACTTGCAACCCTATAATAATTTATAATCTATGTAGACTTCTCCTCGTTCTTCTGGTCGAATATTTTCTTAACATCAGCAATAAATAAAAAAGAAAATATGAATAAGGAAAAATAAAGTTGATTAAAGCTAATTTTTTTATTTGAACAGGAGCACTAAGCTGAAGAAAAACAAGTTTAGCAATTCCTCTGATTCAATCAAGCAATGGAGAATTTATCATCTTATGGACGATTCTTTAACATCGAATCCCGCAAAAGCAGTCTAAAGCTATGTTTCGTTTGAAATAATTTTGTTATTATTTTGTTCTACAATAATTTTTTAGTACAAAAATTTATTAGATTCAATAAAAAAATAATGATCAAAAGTTGTCCCAAACGGAACTTAAGTGGGTGGGAACTTTAGGATCAGACCAACTATCGATCAGATCCAACCCATTTGGATTTAGGTCCAATTAAGTTTTGAAGAGCTTGGACAAAAAGAGTGGTGAATCATTCTTACCTTTAAATATAGTTGTTTAATAAAATTAAATATTAATGTTGTAGCGAGCAACCAACTCCAATATAGAACCAAACAATATCTAATTAAGAGATAAGAGAAGTTTTATCCGAAAAAAAAAAACGTTCTTATTTCCGAGACGCTCATTTTCACTATAAGCTCAACTAAAATCGGAGTTCAGGTGTTTCCGAATCTAATTTCTTGAAGTTTCTCAACGACTTTGCGCCGAGATTCGTGCCTGTTCAATAACTTTCATATTATTTTTTGGACGTCGAAGCTCTAGGAGTCGAAAATATATGCTTCGACAATTTTCTTTTATGAAGAATAAAAAAAATTGCATTCAAAAAATTAAATGCTCGCTCAAACTAAATCGTAGAGGCCCGTTGAGCTCCAAAAGTGTCCGAAAATCGAGTCGGAATGTCGAAAAACGTGCCTGGGGACCCCAAAAAACAGTTGCTTCAGACAGTCCGGCCAAAAATTGGGCCAAACATGCTAGGCGTCGAATCAGATGGCTGCCAACCCGCCAGCCGTCGCTCGGCCGCAAACCCGGGCTGCAAGTCCAACGGTTCGCAACTCGCGCGATCCGCGCGTTTAGCTTCGCGGTTTTAACCGTGTGGTTAATTGATTTTTTTTCTTTTGCGGGCACCACATGGATGGTTTAATCCGTCAGAAATTCCAAAAAACCTAGAAAATTTCAAAAAATTCCTAAATTTTTGAAAAATTCAGAAAAAATTTAAATTTTTAAAATTCTAAAAATGTCCCCATTCTCAAAAAAAAAAAAAAAAAAAAAAACTATAAATAGAACCCCAGGGCCTTAGAAAAATGTGCCCTTCTCTTCTTCTCCATTGCTCTCAATATTGAGGCTTGTTCACTTCAGAGCCTGCCGTCACCTCTATGGAAAGAGTCGAGAGATCCACCAAATGGCGTGAGACTCTCTGAGGTTGTATTGTCAAAGCTATGCTTGATGACGTTAACGTATGGGAAGAAGGTCAGAGTAATACCACCAAGATGTGAGACCTATCGAGGTTGTATGTCGGCCCTGCTTGATGACGTTTAACCTGTGTGGAGAGGTCGCAGAGAATCCACCAAGGATGTGACGACCTATCAGAGGTGTATGTCAGAGCCCTGCTTTGATGACTTACCTGTGTGGAAGAGGTGAGAGAATCCACAAGGATGTGAGACCTATCGAGGTTGTATGTCAGAGCCTTGCTCGATGACGTTAACCTGGTGAGAGGTCGAAAGAAATCACCAAGGATGGAGACATATCTAAGCTTGTAGTCAGAAGCCCTTGCTCGGATGACGTTACCTTGTGTGGAAGAGTCGAGAAGAATCCACCAAGATGTGGACCTATCCGAGGTTGTATTCAGAGCCCTGTCGTCGATGGATTGTTAACTTATGTGGAAGAGTCGAGAGAATCTACAAGGATGTGAGAACCTATGCTGAGGTTGTTATTGTCAGAGCCCCTGACCATGACATTATCCTGTGTGGAAGAGCGTTGGATCAAATCCCCTGGGATGATCATCTGTGATTGAGCATACAATACATATTGTAATTTCTTGAACACAAAAAAAAGAGTTGAAGAATTTTTCATCTTTGCATAAGAGAAATAATATCACAACAACGTGAACATCATTACATTATTGATTATATTAAAATAGTATAAAATTCCCTAGTATGACTTAGGATATACAAGTTACATTGTCTCAAACACTAAGCAGCTACGTACGGGATAACATAATGTTACTTAGAAAAGATATTCAGAGATATCAGAAGTGATACCTACTCAACATAAAAAGAGAATGATGAAACAAGAAAGTAGTATTACTAAATACAAAATAGCACGAAGGCGCGTGCTCATTCAATCTCTCCAAACCATGAATATTATCAATGGTTGTCTTTGGTTGTTGATTTTGCCCCCAAGCAGAACGAGCTTCCTCTCGGATAGTGAATCTTGAATAAAGTTGTCGAAGGTTAGCCTAGTTGGAAAGCTTTCAATCTCTCTTGATCACACTCTTCGTTGAGTGTGACCGATGAAAGTGACAGTACTGATCTAATTTCCTGTGGTCGACTTCAAAGGATTTGGCCATTTTAATGTATCTGACTCGAATTGGCCATCAGAATATATTTGCTCGAGAAGTGTTGAGTGGGTGACTCATTCTCTTGTCGAGGCGTTCCCATCACGTGTAATGGAGGCTATGAGGTAGATTATTCTCCATTACTTTTTATGTTGTGAGAATGAGTTGTCATCTCAGGTGCACTTGTACTTCCCATTAAATTTGCTCAAACTGCTTATTGTGAGCATTTATAGCTTCATATGCAGAAATGTTGTGCCACCACCGATCGCGATCATATCAGGACATATGATATGAACAGTTCGCGCATGATGCTGAATGAGAAGGGGCCGACGAAGACCTCCAAGAAAAGACCCTCAAGTAATTCAGGGTCTACTCCTGAATCTATCGAACCTCGCGGGAAAGATCGCCCTGAAAATACTCCTTCATTTGGTAACGGATGCCAGAGAAGTGGGAAGAATCCTTAGCCGATCTTCGATTTGGCCAACAAATTGTCGACGAATACTTTAGCCAATTTGATAAATGACGGGATCGTTCTAGGTGCAAGCAACATTGATACCATCATTTCGGGCCTTGTCCTTTGAATAGTGTCAGCAAACCTGGTCCAGAGTGAGCGCGTTCCAAGGCTTCTTTGAATATGAGATGGTTCTTATAGTTAGTTGATATGTTCTCATACGTAGTTTCGGCTTCTCGTTTCCTCGTTGTAGGTCTCAATCATTTTCAGTCTATTTTGTGTGAAAGTCCGTTCTTATATGGTGCTCGGTTTGCTGAAGGACATGGCTCTCACTTTAGATGGTGTATTGATGATCCTAGAAGTTCCTCTGTTCGGAGAAATTCTTTGCCCTATCATTCCCTCGTGGTAATCTTCTCCCTGTTACAATATTTTCATGTGTGTTTCTGCTAGAGCTTATTTGTGATGTGCAGTTCTAGCAATGTGTTGTGGGTGAGCTTCTCTAGGAATATCTTGGTATAGCAACGTGTGGCTGCCGTATGTTGCACGGCGATAGTTATATTTGATGAACTTGTATGTATCAGCCTCGATGTTTGTTGTTATGATTGTTATCTTGTCCTCTATTCTTCAGCGGGAGAATAGAAGCGTCTGCTTTCGACAGATGCTCCGATATCTAAACATTTCTTAACCCATGGTGGATTCCAGGGAGAAGAACTTTCCTTCCCCTATGTGGTAGGTGTCGGCTATTCGTGAGTTTCTCAATAGGAGTTGAAAGGATCTCTTCTGAGATTTCTTCCATTCTTTCGAAATCTTTTCCTCTAAAGAATGGTCCCGAACGTTGACTTCTCCGCAGCATTTCGTTTGCCACTACAGGATTTTGAAATAGAGTTGTACATTCGGGTGTCTGTATCATCAGACTGTATTTCCTGCATCTTGGTGGGATTGTTGAGAGGCGGGAAGCTCCAACGATTTGCGCACCTTGCTACGTCTTGTTAACATGTAGCTCAATACTAGTTTGTGGCTGATAGTGATCTTCCCACATAACCGGCGGACAATCTGTTGCCTATGATAGATTATATACGTCGTGCGGTGGTAGATGTTTGTATATTTCTATGTCTTTCTCTGTGTGCGTCTGATCTGAATTTATTTCAGCACATCCAAACCAGCGAAAGGTAACTATTATACAAACACGAATCTTCTTTACTCTGCTGGTAAACTCGAAAGTAGTGAAAATCACGGCGGCCACGCCTAGTTAAGTTATATTCCTACTATGTTACTTAGCATGGTCTGACTCGTTCCTCACAAGTCCTTATGGACGATCATGATTACACAAGCGTTCTTCTGCTAATGATAACCTTTCATGTTACTAAAGTCCTTGTTACGAATTCCATCACTGTCTTCCCGGTTATATCCGGCAGTAATTCTGCTCTGGTCGTATTCAGCTAGTACGGCAAAGAACTTCCTGTGCTTTTGTTGTCGTTTCCGAGGCAAGGAGCTTATTCTCCTCCTCTGCTTCTTCTGCTTCTAATTTGCTTGGGTTCCTCTTGTAAGAGGAATGAGGGCTCTATTTTATAGTTTTTATGAGTGGCATGGCTCATAAATAGGTGTGAGATTCAGGGAAAATAGGGAGTGGTTGAAGACGCTGATACTAAATCCCTTTTATTATGCACCGTTTGTTGGATATGAAGGCCTTAGTGATGTCAAAAATTTGGCGAGATTTTTGGGCTCGGGATTGTCCATCGGTGCGCGACGATTTCGACTATAAGCTTCGTAAAAATCACGGAAACCATTTTGTAACACAAATTGCATGTACAGATTTCCAACCAATACTTCGGGCGCTTACTTTGAGTCTTTTGGGCTCGGATCGAGTTTGAATTTGATTTGTGTTTTGGGTGTTGATTTCGAGACGCTCAGTTGACTATTAAGCTGCGACTGAAACGGAGTTCTGGTGTTTCGAATTTGATTTTTGAAGTTCCAACTTGACTTTTGCGCGCGCGAGATTCATGCCCGTATCAGATAATTTCATGTGATGTATCAAATATAAACATTCATAATTATTTAACGTATGTAGGTGAAAGAATCAATTCAAAGAATATATCACATGG